TCCAGGACGGTTTAGGGTTTAGGGTAGTTTGACGGTTGGGAAGTTACTTGGGGATAGCTTTTGGTCTTTTATCTAGGAGTTTATAACTGTCTGATAAGGGTCCTGGAAGGTTGTACAGTTTTGTTTTTTTTCGTGGCTGGCGATATAAAGTGTTACTGATTTAGTTCTTAGTTTTACGGTCTTGGGCTTGTTCAACGAATTGGGGGGGGGGGGGGGGNNGGGGGGGGGGGGGCGTAGCAAGTAGGCGTGAGACGTAAAATAGCTACAGTGAGCCCTGATCACAGTACTTATATAAGTCAACGGTCTGAGACGCATGATCCTTTGAGGGTTTTATGGTGTCGTACGGTGTTTTGATACGGCCCGAGTTTGCGGTCAATTGTTTGAGGTGCAGCCGTATTCTAGAGCCCGATATCCTTCACGAACATAACATACTTCGGAATCCAACCCTAAAGGTGTCGATGAGTATACAGCCTTAGTCCACATGAGGTAGGGCTAACAGCAGCATTGCTTTAAGAGCTCCTGTAAGGGATCTATAATAAGGGTGTCATTATTCAGGCACGTTACTGTGTAGATTGGGGTTTTGGCGAGGGTATATCATGCTTAGGAATTTGGTGAGTGTGTTTCTGCGATTTTACGGTGGGAAACCTTGCAACTCCTGATCGAAGGGTCCACAACCTACTTTTACTGGTCGGGCTTAAGGCTCAGGGTACGGAAACCCTATCAAAGTTTGTATAAGATCTTGTCAACGCAGAAAAGCCACCAACATCCGTGTGCAATCACAACGGCGGAAACCCTAAAACCTTAAACCCTACAATCCCTAAACCCTAAACCTTAACATAAGGAACCCGGAACGCTTAAAGGAAGCCTTAAAGGCACCCTTTCCAAGATTTCAGTTCCGAAGAGGACGCAGTGCATCCCACGCCGCTGTTCGAGCTGCTGGGGCTGATGCTCCCAGATGGCATGTATCGCTCGAGAGAATCGAATTCTTAGGGGGCTCCTTTAAGGCTTCCTTTAACGGAGGGTTTAGGGGTTTGGGATCCTAAACCATCAACCCTAACCTATAGGGTTTCGGGCGGGCTAGGGCAACATGTAGGGGTTGTCTGTGTTTTCACATTTTCATAAGGGCCTTACAGACTTTATATTGGGGAATTTGGTTCCCGCAAAACGTCACAAGTTAGAGTAGTATTAGGTTTCCTGATAGGTAGGATCCGACTATGTAGAGTCGGGTACCCTGTTGTCCAAGACCCCAAAGCCTAAACCCTCAACATTAGACCCCCTATACCGAAAAACAAACAATTGTTGTCAACGAAACTCTGTCATAAGTAGGCTCTTTAACACCGGCTCATGGTTGGGAGGGCTGGGGCATAAGTTATTTCAGAAGGGCTAATGTAGAACCTGAATCCTGAATCCTAAACTCCAAGAAACCCTTATTACAGCCTGAACCCTGAACCCTAAACCCTAAACCCTAAACCCTAAACCCTAAACCCTAAACCCTAAACCAACCCTAAACCCTACTTAATTACAGCCAAAGCCTACATACTTTCCCGGAGCCTGAAGGCTCCCACACCGGCAATTCTGCAACCCCGAAGCCCGAAATTCTCAGAGCCTAACCCCGTCATTAGGGTTTAGGGTTTAGGGTTTAGGGTTTAGGGTTTAGGGTTTAGGGTTTAGGGACCCCGTCCACCGCAACGATGTACAAAATAGATGCTATAAAGGGGGTTCCTTTAGAGTACCCCTTCGTAGTATAGGCTCCCAAATCAGATCCGAAGTGTCTTCGAAAGAAACCTTGAAGCAGAAGGGGCTTAGGGTTTAGGGTTTAGGCTTTAGGGTTTTGGTTTAGGG